ACACGGGATCCCCGGGTCAATTGTCAGTGACCGTGACCCAAGATTTGTGTCCAAGTTTTGGCAAGAATTCTGGAAGTTATTGGTGAGTAAGCTGCGAATGTCCAGTGCCCACCACCCTCAGACAAATGGTTAAATGGAGGCAGCAAACAGGGTGGTGGAGCAAATCCTTCGATGCACAATCCATGCTAGTCAGGACATCACACACTGGGAGCGTTATCTGCCCATGGTGGAATTTGTGATGAACAACAGCGCATCACCAGCTATGGGGCATGCACCGTTCTACCTCAACTATGGGTTTGAACCAGTGACCCCATTGGACTTGATAAGGGATGTCGACCAGACAAACCTTGAAGGGGTTGACGTTTTCGTTAAACATATAAAGAAGACGTTCAAGTTGGCGATGCAGATGGTTCAACAGGCGCAACAAAGATAGAAACGCCAAGCCGACCAACAGCGACGTGATCAGCAATTTCACAGCGGGGAACAGGTGTTGCTGAGCACAGAACATCTACAATTGAAGAATGCACATATTCGCAAACTTAAGAGGCGATTCGTGGGTCCCTTTGCTGTGGTCCATCCGGTGGGACCAGTGGCCTACGAATTGGAGCTGCCTAAAAGGTGGAAGATTCATAATGACTTCCATACAAGTTTGCTTCGAACATTCAGAACGTCCAGATGGTTGTCCCCACAAGAAGATGAAGATGTTGAGATTGAAGTTGAAGCTGATGAACCATATGATGTGGAGAAGCTGCTGCGTTGGAGATGGGCAGGCCCCAGTGGTAGGAGGCACAAGGAATTTTTGGTGTTATGGACAGGGTGGAGTCTGGATGATGCCTCCTGGGTACCGGCTGGAAATTACACCTATGTGAGAGAGCTGCAGAAGATGATCAAGAGGGACAAGCCCGAGGAAGTCACTAGTATGGGATAGTATGCTTTCGAGGGCGAAAGCTACCCCAAGGGGAGAGTACTGTTGTGGAGCTACTTGGGGGCAGGCAGTAAATGATGTTTTCTGCAGCTGCATTAGGTAATCTTGCTGAGTCATCTTTCTCTATGGTTTAATTATGACTTCTTGGTTCCAATGCATTTTTCAGCACTCAATTCTGTGGAGTATTGAGGAAGATACGGCCTCGTGAAGACACAGTACTTAGAGGCCGGGTGTTGGGTGGGGATGGTTGGAATTAAAGCTAGATTAGGTTGGTTATAGGTGACGAGGGGCGCTGGGACACGGTCCGTACATTACACTGAGCTTTCATGTCTGATGTGACGCGATGGACCCGCGACCGGGCATCGCGCAGGCACATGGATGCGTGCATCGCGTGTGTCAGACTGTAACCGCATTCGGGCCCCACTTGCTGCCCCGCCGTGAGGCAGCAAACCGCCGAACGCCACCGCGACACCACCGCCTGCACACGGCAGGCTTCGGGGAAGGTCCCCGAGCGTCCAAGGGCCCACCGCGCTACCACACCATCGAGCACCCCGTCAACGCCCGCCGGAATCCGGCGGAGAGGCGCAGCACGAGGCTGTGCCATCGGGTGCGGCGACCGCCCCCCATACTCCGGAAACCAGCGGCCGCCCGTGGGCCGCAACAGTGGGTGCAGTGGTTTCTTGCAAGAGCACTTTTCCATAGTATTTTAAGTAGTTCATAGGGCGTGGATATTGTTATGTTTCTCTGGCTGTTTAAACCTTGCTTCCTTCTGATTTGGATCATCTTGATCCAGTGGTAGGTTGCATTTGCCATTCTAGGAATAATGGTTTTTAGGAATTCAATATTGGGTGGCGTGAGGACCGATCTCTTTGTTAGGACTTGATTGGGGTCTGGACTCTCAAAAAGAGATGTGATTTGTATTAGGTTCATAGCATGCAAAATGGTCTTTCAACCTGTGATGGCCGAAGGGCCTGGTGCGTCCCCCTCAGGGAGATCGCCGACCCGGCGAACCAAAACCAAACGGAGAGGAGATCCCCATTGATAGGCTCGACGAGCATAACCCAAGGAACACAAATGACCCAACCGACGTGGAGGCGAAGGTGGATTGGAGGGATTGGATGTGCTGAAAGTGCTCGCGATGGAACATGCGGTCAGACTGGTCTGACAGCGTATGGTTACCCTCTCAGGTTGTGGAGTCATTGAGACTCATCATCAGTTTTTTCAGACGTTTAACGGCTAGTACATTTACTGTAGTTACTTTAGGTACAGATACCACAGGTGCAACAGTTAGCCGGTAGTTCACAGGTTGAACTCTCAAAGTTCGACTATTCACATTACTCTTTTGCATTTGACGGCAAATTGAGTTCACAGTAATGTGATGTGCTTTTCTCCACTTTATCAGTGGGGGTCTCACCTTCATCCGTGGCAATATACTATATTGCTCACAAGTACCATTTGACTCTCATGAGGTACTTAACGTCTAGGAACCAAAATACATGGAGCATGCTGTCAATTTTGTGTAGCCCAATTGACTGCATGTGCACAAGATACAATGCCCCGGAAAAGGAACAGCTGAAGAACTTCAATGTCCTTCCTTACTCTACCGTCACAAAGAAAGTCATCGCGTTTTGAGGCAACACGAATTGTTCGCACACACATACGAAATAACACTTAAGTACTCGAACTTAGAGCAACACATCTGCCTAACTATAGTCGCACAGTTATTTCGAATTACAAAGTGCCCATTTCAAATCACCCTCGGAAAGGGTGTCGATTTTGTTGAGCTTGCGGAATGATATCCCCAAAATCATATTAAATCATGTTATTTTGATGGAATAGTAGGAAAATCGTATTCTGTTTGGCATCAAATGGGTGCATTCACACTCCTTGTTCGAGAGTTTTTATTAAGCAACAACCACAAACCTTGAAGAAATTGCCATGCTGCTTTACTAACTTATTTTGGCCATAAGTATACGTCCAATTGGAGGCAATCATTTCTTGTGAGCAGCATGTTTAGCCAATCTGCGAACACCGAAGTTCAGAAAAGCGCGACCTTTGCCCCTTCACCAACTCTTCAAATTGAAACATTCTGTCATGTTCAAATGTTGCGCATCGAAGCCAGTGAATTTCACAGACACTCTTCGTACTCTCAGACCTTTTTTTTATCAAAAGCATAACTTTGCATGTTCAGAATACGGCGGAGCTCAACGACCTGTTGCAAATTGCAATGGAGGAGATTTTATAGGAAATAACGAGCGTGTCTCCATCACCTGATCATGCCTTTTTAAATATTGCTTGCATCACCTCCTTGTCACAATTGTCAAATGATGAGACAGCGTCCGCATCAGCCAGGAAATGTCGTGCCGTGGACGGGCTGACACACCGCCTTTCACAAATGGGGAAAGGGGCCTGCCATTTCACTTTGTCGTTATTTTAAAAATCTGTTCATACTACAGTAGTATAATGATGATACTAGTGATGATATTATTGTAGTATGATGGTGATATTCGAATTGGGGTGTCCAAATCCTTGTTATCGCCTTTTTTTTGCACTAAAATATGATCATTCAGTCCACTTTGCAGGACTTTAACAGGCGCCCCTTTTGATGGTAATAGGTGTTCAAGTAACCTGCCTCGACCACATTCCTTATTCCATGGTGTGGCAGTCCTAGTTCCCATAGCATGGCAGCCCTGGAGCCTTACACATGTACATTGAGTGCTTTGAGAACTGTGTGTACTATTTTCATTGGGTGACTATCAACAATTATGGTGTGCATGCGCACGGCGACGACATAGTGTGATGCATAATGCTATGTCGTCGCCATGTGTTTCTCGGTGACCCTTGTTCGTCGCCTCGCAGAAATTGAAGTTTTGAATTTGGTTCTATTTGGATTTACTAACATTCCATGAATTTTATGAACCACTCGGTGCTCTAGGCCTGCGAGGTCTTGGCATCCCTGTTGCTAACTTGCGTTGTTTCATTATGGGCGACCTGCATAAGCTAAGCAACACACACAGGCCGCTTCAGCCACGCACATTCTCATTCCGCGCCAACCGTTCCCAAAATAGTAGGACGGTTGATGCCCACACATGTGTACGATCCGAGAGGCGCAGTGTCCTTGTTCAAGGACACTGCGCCCTTCTCATCGTACACACATCATGCGCCCTTCTCATCGTACACACATCATGCGCCCTTCTCATCGTATACACATCACGCTTGTTCTCCTCGTATAGGGTATACATTCGCTGTTCGTTCTCTCCCCAACAATTGTTGGAAAATGTGCAATTTGCCACAACCCTCGTCAAACTGCGGCCAGCCAGTCATGTGCAAGGTGCGCATGTGTAAGGTGCGCCTCCCCACATCCATCCTGCCGACTCACACTCCCCACCATCGGGCCGCGAGAGGCAGCCTGCGCAACACCACCAGCCGGCCGCTGCAGACCCGACCTCCAGACCCCTTCCCCGCGACCCCCCCTCGCCCCCCAAACCCCCTTCCGCCTTCTTAAGCCGGAAGAAACACCCACACCATAGCGAGCCGACCCTGGCAAACCCTGCTGCTCGTCCCTCGCCACCGAGCATTTCCGAAAAAAAAACGAGGGAGCGCCGAAAGCGCAGGGCGTTCAGGTACGGGGCCCTAAGCTCGTGCCCTCGGAATGTGCCTCTCTCGATCGCGGCCTGTCGCAGCGCGACCTGTGCTTCTGGGCTCGATCTCCGCCTCTCGTCGGACCGGTCATCATCCGACGGAAGGGCGGGCGGCGCGCCGGCCGGGGACATCGAATGCGCCCCACGGCGGCGAATCGTCTCGCACGTTTGTCTGCGCCGTGCTACCGGATGCAATCTCGCTCTCGTGCGAATTCTGTGGCGCTGGGCCGCCGATGTCGTGGCGAGGCGGGCGGTTGGCCTTGGGGCCTGACGGAGGCCGGTCGACTCCCTCAACGCACGCGCACGGGGAGCGGGTGGCTTCCCAATATCCTGGGCCAATCTCTTTTGGGATTCACGTGGGATTGATGTTGGCTGAGGATGGGTGCATCCGTGGCCAGGGACGGGCTTCGCGCCGCGGGCGGGGCTTGGCAGGGATGGCCACGGAGAGTTCCCCCATGTTCGGTGCGGAAGGGGACTGCAGCGAGGTTTTGGAGGAGCTGATGTGGAGGGACACGGGGGAGAACCTGGCGATGTCAAAGCACAGCGAGAAGGTGGGAGTTCGCAGTCGTCGGGATGGGGCTTGGCCGCTGGGGAATAGGGCAGGGAGTTGAAAAGTGGCGGGAATGGCGGCTTGGACTTGCGCTCAATTTCAGCGACGGACTGGGGCGCTTTTTGCGTAGCGTCTTGGAAAATGGTGGAAACTGATGGGTGTCATTAGCAGGAGCGGCGAATGGGCAGCGATTCCTTTTCCTTGCTTGCCTTCCTATCTACACCTTGCTAAAAGCGGCATGAGGAGATTCTTTGTGGGTGTCTGTTGTGCATGATACAGAGAACACATAGTTCCACAATTTCCTTCTCTGCTTTCTTGGAACGTGGCGTTGTGTGGTCACCTGTCAACCCGCTCTCAGCCACTGCCCTGAAACTTCAAAACCCCAAACATCTGAACATCAGACCGGTTTCTGATTGGGGCAGAAGACAATGCCGCTTGAGGCTGTATTTTCATTATCCCAGTGCCTCCCTTGGGCTCCACGCTCTGTCGTTTCCAGATCACCTTGCTGGCGATCGAGCAATGCCCCATATGTGCTCAAGTGCCCATCGTTGCCAACAAATTGCAAGGGCACTGCTTGGCCCTACAAAATCAAATGCCCAAGCAGGAATTTTACCTGCAACCGCTATGCCACAGGTGATTGAGCAGAAGGAGCAGCAGCTAAAGGAATCCATCCAGCGTAACTACTCAAAACTGAAGGGCGTCGAAAAGGAGTTGGAGGGCCTTCAGTTGCAACTGCGACTGACCTCTGGCCCAAAAAAGTCGGCCCTTGAGCTCATCCGCAGGAAGATTGAAGCCCAGAATGAGAAGGTGCTGGCCTCACGCTCGAAGGTTGCTGCCGCCAAGCGGTTCCTTGCAGTTGCAGAAGCAGAGTTGGCGGGCGCACAGTCTGTGAAGCAGCAGCTTTGTGGAGAGCTCAACATGCTGGTGCACCAGAGCACACACCTGCAACTAGCCAAGCTTGAGGAGCTGTCTCAGCAGCTGGACGGGTTGGAGGCAGCGTCCACATCGGCAGGGAGCGAGGAGGGCAGCGCTTCAGCCCAGAGTACGTTCCTGTTTCAATTTTTGATTGCAAAGGTTGTACAAGTCCCTCCTGTGGTTGTACAAACCTTTCTTGCAAAGGGAGCTCACAGTGAATCTTGTGTAAACGTGTTATTGCACAGGTTACCAGAGTTCGTTTTGCGAGATTCATTGTAGCAAGAGGCACACTCGTCAACCAGCGGGCTCCCCCTGAGTGACAGTGGCCCAGATTGTGTCTTGTGCACATCCTTTATTAAAAGGAAACGAAGCATTGCTCTTGCATCTTGATGGGTTTGATAGCTGTAAATCTATGCATATGCAGGTCCATACCAATGTGTGGCTGTCATGGGAAAGAGCATGGCCTTTGTGCTTTGGAAAGGAATTATCTGTGTTTCGATTGGACTTGGATGTTTTGGGGCCAGCAAATGATCTCTGTGAAAATCAACTGCTCAATACCCTGTTGATTTGGAAGCATTTTATACGTCTTCAGCCAGGACTCTTGGGCACATTCATGAATATCTGCCACCTCTTTCCCGGTTGGCTGAAATTTTTACGTCTGGGTTGTAGCCCATGCACAGAAGTGGTTTGAATGTGTCTTGCAGCACTGCCATAAAGCATGGAAAATGGTAGATGCAGCCTCCAAAGTGCTTCCCTTGAATATGCTGGATCTTTGTCAGCATTTGGATGTGTCCACAGTCATTGAAGAACCAATGCCCAATCCCTTGCATCAAGTCATTCATTGCTGCAGAGCACTGAGCAGACAGCTTCAATATGCTTGTGTTACGGTTTGTTCAAAGTGCTTGCCCAATTGATCGCTATCCCTGCTGCAAAAATTTGCAAAAATTGCAAAAATTGCAAAAATTGCAAAAATTGCAAAAATTGCAAAAATTGCAAAAATTGCAAAAATTGCAAAAATTGCAGAAGTTGCAAAAATTGCAAAAATTGCAAAAATTGCAAAAATTGCAAAAATTGCAAAAATTGTTGTAGTTGCCAGGGTGTGTTATACACTGACTTGGGAAGAGCGGCAGGTCATTGCTGACTGTGCAATGGCTCCACCCTGTGGCGCCAAGACGATGCCGAACAAGTATGTTCTCCCAGCAACTCACTATTGCAGTCTTTTCTCTCAGACTGTTGATGTTACCAAACAGAGATGGGCACAGCAGGTCCTGCGATTCCCACTTGCAGCAACATCTGTCATTGCTGCAAAATATGAAACTATCGAAGAGCAGTGAATTCTGAAAACACTCCTTCACATTATGGGCTCTAAACCCCTTCTATCGTGTGGCCAAACTGTATTGCAGCTTTCAGAACATCACTCACACCTGTTGAAATTGGAGCATTCAGGAGAAGGGGAGGCTCATGAACGTGTGTTTTCCAGGTTTCCGGCCAGCCGCTAGCAGTGCAGATGCCATGCCAACCTTTAGCTGTGACGCCAACAAAAGACAGGTGGTGCCTGCAGCCGAAGCAGTTATCGACACAGCCCTAGGCAGTGTGCAGCTCAACCCAAACAGGTGAGGCTGTGAGGAATGCATCTGCATGCTTGTCCTGGGGAGCTCTCAAACACAGGCAAATGAATAGATGTAATCGTTGCTGCTATTCACGGCACTGTAACATGAACAGCACAACACATTCGGAGGATGGTTTCTTATTGGTGTTTTGATAAACTTTATTCCTGTTCTCTGCATCCATTTTCCAGCATGCTTGACATTGAGCAACAAGTGATTTGTGCATTGGTCCTGCTGTTGGCTGACGCTGAGAGGATGCTGTGGCCTGCTGCCAGGCCAGAAGCTTCTCAAAGGCAGGAGCCTGTATCTTCGAATGCCCAGGCAGGGGGCCCTGGACAGGTGGACCCACGGAACCTGCCCCTGAAACACCCCAACGGGCTGTCTCCCATTCGCACCTCTGCTGCACAACATCACAAGTCTGCTAGGAGAGGCATGTCAGCGCCCGCTCTGCGGCCACCTGGCAGACCCTCTCCCATAGTGACTCAAGGCGTGTCTGAGATCGCTCAGAAGAATTCCTCTTCTGCAAGTTTCAGCGGGTTTGCTGTTTAAGAACAGTGCTAATTTCCATACTGTTATCCATGAGGCAGGCAATTGAGATTACTAAGTTTGCTGCTTTGAGGAGTACTTGCGGGCGAGCATGCTGCCGGTGGGGCACTCTGTTTGTATAAGGGCTGGCTGGTTTGGCCTAGTCTTTGGGTATGATGCAAATAGATGGAGATCGTGCTGCTGGCATTGCACTTGTGTTGGATGGTTGTTGGCTTCTGGATGGTAGGGAATTGTATGCAGGTGGCGATCCTAGTGTTGATCCTGGTCTATTTTTTTGGCAGTCAATGGGACTTGCTATGATAGCTAAAATTTTTGCTTGGATGCAACACGTGTGCATGTCTTCACGTGCACCATTGCTGTGTTGTTCGGCTCCTTGAGAGAGGCCCTGCTTGGCGGGCAGGGTAGATTCTTTTCAGCTCGCAGAGTAGAGCAGGGGCCAGTGGGGGCGAGAAGCCCAATTCTGATGGGAGAGTGTGGAATGGCGTGAGAGTAGCTCTTGTGCGCGTTGCTTGATGAGAACGGCACAGTTGGGGAGGTGTCAGGGGCGATGTTTACCAATTGTTGCGCTCCGAATGCAATTCAGGGCAGGGGGCGATTTGGTGTGCTCGATGTGAGCAAGATGCCCAGTGGCGCCAGTGATGGGTATTCTGGTGGCTGCCAGTGTATGGATGCCTGTCTGAGGCGCTTGTCGTGTGTCACTTTGCCAGTAGAAGCAGCAGAAAATCTGCCTGGAGTGGCATACTAATGCCAGTACTGTCACCAGCGATATGACTGTGTGTCTCGCGGGACCTCTAGGCAGATGTTGAATGGCCTTGTTCGTTTCCTGATGAACGTGCTACTGGTCGAGCACATGGAAGCTGATGCCCTTGCGCATGTGCGCAGCGCAATTGCACAGCCAGATCGCACGCGCTCAACGCGCCCAGTGAATGTCAGAAGAAGCTGACGCATGACAGGCTTAGATGCAATAGACGATGCCGTCATCGGCCTGGGGCTGGAATGTCAGATGCCCATGCTGTCCCCTCTGCTGATCACCACTGCAATGCAGTGCGACCCAAGGAATGCTGCAGATCAAGGCAAAGAGGCAGCAGCCAGCTCCCAATCCTGCCGAAGAAAAACACCGTCCAGGATTTGCCCGTTCACAGTCCAATCACTGCACGAACGAAAGCCAGACCCTGCCAATTCCTAATTTCTTGGAGAGAAACCTAGAAGGACAGGAGTTCTGAGGCGGACTCTGGACCTCGCACAAAGCAAATGGGCGCCGTCATTCTGTTTTGTTGCAAATGGAATCAACACAAAAGCGTGCTGCTCAAAGAGGCTTCCCCCTGCCTTGGCCCGTAGCACTGATTGGTGGAAAGAGCGCCCTGCCAGTACTTAGGTGCAGGCCGCGCAGGCCGCTCCCGCTACGCCCCGCCCGAGAGTGACCGGGTCTCGCCGCACTCTGACCGGTCCTCTCCTTGCGCTCTCCTCGGTTGCGTCGGTCGCGTCGGTCGTATCGGTCATATCGGTTGTATCGCTCATATCGTTCGGCCTGCGGCGCAAACCCTGCACGCTGCCGCACCCAAGTTCCGGCGGAATCTCGAGCGCAGTAGCAGGGCGGTGGGGAACGAAGGAACGCGAGCGGAGGGGGGGCCGGCAAGCTGATTGCCAAGCCCACCTTCAGGAGCAGGGATGGCGGCCGAGGAGGGAGGCGCAGACGCATCGGACGATCTCGAAGAAGCCCAGGAAGACGATGAGCGTCTGCAGCAAGCGCGATTGGAGCAGCTTGTGGGTGGCCTTGAAGCCGGCGCAGGAAGCCGGTGGTGGTAATTGGGGCCGTGCGCTGACAGAAATTTGTGACCAATGGAACGTGCAATGCATTGGGCATTCCCTCCTGAGCAAATCGCTCTGAGCGTCTTCTTCTTTTGCTAGCCGCTCCTTTCAATGAAATTGCAATCTTATTGAAATTAAGGCAAGCCTCCATTTAGTAATTGGGAAGTGACGAGTGTCGCTGCAATTCATGATGCTTTGCTCATATTTGCTTCCGCGGACATAGAATTGCGAGGCGCCAAACAAATTTGAACAACGATTGCCCGAGAGTATGTTTTTCTCCACGAAAGCAGTATTTTCGGAACCTACAGATCGCCTGCCTGCATATAGGCACAAGACAGAAACACGCAGGGAATTCCCTTCAGCCCTGTGCTTTTAGACCAGAAGCTCAACTCGCTCCTCATGCCCATCCGACAGCCCTTAAGCTGTGCCATGTTGTTAGTGTCTTCACTATCGAAAACAACTGAAGACTCTTCCCTTTACTGCACCCTCGTTCCTGGGCTCACATCCTCTGATACGTGGTAAAGAGCTACAACTACACGCGGCGGACGCAGTTTACTCCCTGAACGTTCAATTGCCACGTGCAAATTTGAACGTGGAAAGCTTCTGTCTGGCGGAAAAGATGACGTGCTGATATACAGCGTATACGATACGCTCAGTCCAGTTTGGTGTTTCAGTTGCAAGGGAACGAGCATCTGGAGCTCGAAAACAAGCTGCTCCGTTCCTACTTGGACAGGGTCAGTCCACACTACGACGGGTTGGATGAAGCCGAGGACGCAAAGGTAAACGATGCAGCTTCATGCCGGGCTCAGCCAGCTCGGTGGTGGCCTGCCCGCGCTTTCCAATGTAATATGAACGTTGAATGAGGCTTGTCATTGGATAGTCATCATTCAGCATTGTATTCGCGTTGGAATTGGCACTGATTTGCTGACGCAAGCAGAGAGCAACTTGTCTGTACCGCACCAGTGAAACGGAAACCTGCTTGCCTGCATGCCAGCGTTGCTTTTTAACGCAGTTTCAATGAAAACGGCCAACTAAGTACTGTAAAGTACTGAGCCTTGTGCCATGCTTTCCAGCAATAGTTTTTTTTTTGAGGATTGCCGCAGTGTGCCAGTCTTACACCAATAGGCGCAGAGGCTGGAGCGGAGCTACGTCCATAGCGTCGAGCGCTTTTTGGTTCTTGCTTCTTCTACCCAAACATGGTTTGGGTAAATTTATACCGCAGCCGCGGAGAGTTATTCACCGGCAGAAATGGGCCAACCACAAAGTTACCAACAAAAGATTTTTCACTTTACTGATCCTTTAGAACAAATTGTGTAAATTTGAGTTAGGCCCTCCGTCCCTAATACAATTGTAGTTTGCGAAGCATATCACCCAGATCAGGGTTAGCGAACTTTTGTTACATTTCGATTTTACGCGGCTTTGAGTAGGAAATATTTACTGTGAGTTTTTACTTATTTTAGGTTGTGAATTTCTGTTTCCAAGTTATTACATCACATTTCAATGTGCAGGTGCCTCTCCCGTCCTATCACAAGATACGTGGGCTTTGTGCCACATATTAAGATAATGCAAAGCGGTGTAAAGCATCCAAATATGTTCCGAGCCCAAATGGACGCTCGGTATCAAGAAGAAAGAAGAGAAGCTCGGCACTCCGGGGGCCCTGGCATAACAGCCATCAAATTAAATCGCATTTGACTTTGTGTTTGCTCTAATGAGCCGAGACGAGAAACTAATCTGCTGCTCCAATACTATTAGTGTTGCTTTCATTGCACCATCACGACATGGAGTAAATTGTTGAACCCATGTGTTAACGAACTATCAATATCTGAGATTTTCAACATATGCACGCGGTTTAAGCGTGGAGAGAAACTGTATCGAATGGGCAGCACTTCGCAAGCGTCCTCCTGCTCCCTTTGTAATGAGGCGTGTGGGCCGCAAACAGAAGAAAAGGACGATGCGGCGAGGCAAACCGGACGCCAAGCAGGTGCGACAGCTGACGGCGGAGGAGAAGAACGACATCGTGACGAACGAAATGGAGGTCCTTCAGGCCGAGACCAAGGCGGTATGTGGATTGGCGAACGGGCAGGGCCGAAATTTCCTCCAAAGCATTCCCCGGAAATGGAAATGTGCCCCGCACCTAGAGCTTTTGCGAGGGCCTTTTGGGATATGAGCCGACACGAAGCGTGCAGAATGTGACTACCGTGGCGTCAAGGTACCAAAGGTCAATCGGCAGAGAATGGGATGCACTTACTGAACCAGCGGAAGTGGAATCGGTGGAGAGAAGTGCAACGCGTCATGGCGCCAATGCCCAGCATCAGGACAGTTCCACACCACACTGACGTAGATTTGCCGCTCAGCAATTTGAACCGTCTCTTCCGCCGGGCATGGGTGATTTTGACAGAGTGAGAGGGAACCTTGCCGTTCAAGTGCACGAATCGCTCAGCATGACCAAGTGGTTGGGATTGCCGTAGGTACAACTAACGGGCGAGAAGGAGATAGATGACGTGAAGACGATGATTGAGGAGAGGGACATGCAGATTGCGGAGATAAAAAAGGAGACGTATGAGTTCAAAAGGGACATCATCATGGGGGCTGAGAACACGAGGACGGGCAAAATTGTTGCCGAGAAACTTCTGAGGCAAGGCCGCCTAAAAAACATTTTGATGCATTGGTTGGTGAGTAGCTTATTCAACACCGCTTTGAGGGTCGCATGGCGGGCCCCAAGGCTCCATTTTAGCCAACTTTCGATGGTGCTGCGCCATTGATTCAGCAACTGAGAATAAAAACAGTGGAAATATTTCGTACAAAACTTTTTTGCACATACCTTGCGAGAGATTCTATCAATCCTCGTCTGAGTACTTTGGTGATACTACAGTACGTCGGTGCGTAAAATGGATTGCTCACAACTGGAATCAATCTTCCAATCGGTCGGTGAAGGTACGTTTCTGAGTTGCATTGTTATGTGCACACTATATACATTCCCACTATCCATAGGAGGGTGAAATCACGCTGATGATTTAGCCACAGGAAAAAAGCTTCATTTATGTACTCAATATGCTCCCAAGGTATCGCAGCAGGAACTGCCAAAGTACACCAGTTGCCATTTCCCCAACTGCTCCAATTCTTGATTGCTTGGCTTGCCCTCCAGATTTCTCAATGACAGGATCAAGGCGAAGGAGGCCACGGTAGAAAAACTG